GTGGTAATGAAAACGTAGTGATCGTTTACATTGATTCAGAAACACAAGAAATACATACCCTTTTCATTCAGTCAATAACATACACTCTAGATTAGGCCGTATTGCTTTGTGAATAAAACAGTAACTGAAAAGTAATAATCAACACAATCTGAATTAGTTAATATCACCAAGCAGAAAAACTGAAATCTTTATTGCTCCAGTAAAAGTAAATTAGATATTTCAAATAAATGAGAATCATACAAAGTACTAATTAGTTCAGCTCATATTAATATGTACTTTAGTTTATCTATTTAAGTTATAGAATCAATTATGAGGTCATATTCTCACACAACAGTCACTATTAACTAAATCGTGAATGATTGAAATCGAGTGATAAAACTACAAATCAATATTACCTCTGAACAAGCGAGTTATTTATTTCTATCCTCCTAGTTAGAATTGTCAATTCGCAGTAGTATGTTCTTCATTGATTTGCAAGATCTCCTCTGTTAGATCCGCATGAGAGACATTGATCGTAAGACATCAGAAAGAATAACAAAATTCTGGAATTTTCTCAGAATCAAAGTATGAAATAAACATACTGGTACAGTGTGACGTATACTGGCAATGCTAAAACCTCTGTAACTATTTTGCAGTTTATTATCATTTGTGTTTTTTTTGTTTAGTTAGTAGATATTTGTATCACTGTATTTTTATGTTCTCCCCATTGTAAATCTCAAGTTTACATACTATCTATAAAGAACATACTATTGCGAATTAACAATTCTAACTAGGAGGATAGAAATAAATAACTCGCTTGTTCATAGGTAATATTGATTTGTACTTTTATCACTCGATTTCAATCATTCACGATTTAGTTAATAGTGACTGTTGTGTGAGAATATGACCTCATAATTGATTAGTTAATTGATATATAGGAGATAATTGACCTGAATTATAGATTTCACGTGACTATCGGATTAACACACAACACAACGTAAACCGGTGTTCACTGTTCATGTACACTCGAACCAATTTCATCTGACGTCTAACGATAATTGATATCAGAAATAATTTGTTGAACAAGTCATTATAGTCAACTCTTCGTATTATGTATGTTTTTATTATTTAAAATGTTAACCAGCTTCTGACATCAGTTATTGATAACATAACAGTGGATTGCTGTATAGGGAGCGATGTATCACTTTATCCTTAAAGTTTGTCATCAAGAGATTGCTGATTATAATTATAAAAGTCTGGCAACACTAAATCAACACGAATGATTCTGATCCAAAGTCACCAATTTTTCACTTCACACGAAATCGTACCTTTCACATATTTTCTGGAATAATTTTATAATAAATAGTAATTGGAGGAGTCAACCAATTAACCTATCACCCATTTGTTTTAATGAGATTGTTCACATTTTTATTGTGTCGGTTGATCATACCGAATTTCTTATGTGAATGATTGATTCACGTACAAACTTTCAGTACTTTTTTTTCTCGGACCAAATCAAATGTGAGAATTCGTTAAAACTTTTCAGAATTAAATCTCTCATCATTAGTTATCATGACATTTCAACTGCACAGACTAAGTACAATATGGAGAAGTTCAAGAAAAATATAAATAACTGACATTCTCTTAGGCATTTCCAAAATACTTTATGTGTCCATTGTAAGTCTTATAAGTTATTTCCGGCGTCTTATAACTTAGTACGTTCGAGAATTACCATGATATTACTTCTCAAACTCGAATTCTGAATCGACGGTGCATATTTCAAAACACAAAAATTGTTTGCTGCATCGATAATGCACATTGTCTTTAAAAAACATTTATGATGTTACTAAGACACTCGATTACGTTAAAATTAGTGATCATCAGCAACGAATATTTAAGACATTATTTTGTCACATAGTATATAACTTGAGTAATATAGTGTATAGAAATGCCTACTTTATTACTTATTTACTTTAGAAACCTATGAATCTCAGTCCTACGAACAGTAATTGAACTTATATCTTATAAACATTTTTATTACAACTGCATGTTCATTTTTAGGATACAAATGCGAAAATTATGTAGCCATTTAAAAATCCATTTGGATATAATAAAGTTTATTTTAACTTTAAATCACATTTTTTTGAAATTCGAAGGAAACTACATAGGAACCATGAGTAACTAGTTCGAATTCCATTCAACACTGTCAAGGATTGAAACGTTGCTCTCAACACAACTACGTTGTTATAATCCAATGACAGATATCTAACAGAGACCGCTCATTTTCATATAGGTCATTATGACCTCAAAGCTTCTGTTCCTCGCTTTTTAATGAGGTCTCTTTGTCAAAATCATTTTAGTTGAGTTGGTTTTGAAGCTGTGACGTATACTCAGGACATGATGTTTATATTCACACTCACTACATTTAAATAGGAAGATATCATTGGTATGTCAGATTAGCTGCTTTACCTGATAAAAGTTGAAAATCAGCATCTGAGTTCTATATGGTCACTGATTTCAGTTGAGCAAACTACAAATGAAGAGCAGAAATTTTCAAACTTGTCAGTTTAGAAGTGAGTGAATTAAATGAATGGCATACGTTCAAACAATTGTTGTTAAAACGATGTTATTGAACAGCCAGTTACAAAGAAGTTAAAGTGTCAAATTAAGTTCGTTGCGTAAAATTACAGCAGCAAACTCTCTGCTATAGAAATAACTTTAATTATATTTAATAGTTTTAATCAACTAAGACAATATTCAAACTTCTATCTCATTATACAGAATGCATATTATACAGATATCTAAAAATTTTATAAATCGCATGATATAACAGCAATGGCTTACGAGTCACATCGGTAAGTAAAGACTAGAAATGATAATCACGTTTCTCAAACCGAGATAGATTGTGACGAGTATTAGAGAGTAGAGATGTGTACATGTGATTCATCACTCCACATTATACAGGTCAAAACAAGTGAAAATGTGAAGTAGGAGGAAAATAATTTATAGTGATCAACAGGAAATCCATTTATTGATGTGAATTAGAAAAAAATGTGTTTACCATATAATCACAGATAGAACTTACATAATTGCTAAGTATTCATGAAACCGGTAAATTTTTAATACGAAGCCTAGCTACATTCGATGCATCCTTTTTCAGCTATCCTGATCCGTTACATCTTGCTTACTTACTTACGCCTGTAACCCCTCGGGGAGGAGAGTAGGCCTCTCCTCACCATCCTCCATACAACTTTATCCTGGGAAGTTTTTTCCAGTCCTTTCCAGTTGCTATTCATCCTTTTCATGTCTGATTCTAATTCTCGGTGCAGTGTGTTCTTTGGTGTTCCTCTTCCCCATTTTTATTCAGGATTCCAAGTTAGCTCTTGCTTCGTGGTGCAGTTTGATGACTTCCCCAATGTATGTCCTATCCACTTCCAACGTCGTTTTCTACTTTCCTCTCCAGGTAGATGCTAGTTCATTCTCTCTCACAGAAGGCTGTTGCTGATGATACCCGACCAACGGACATTCGGTGTCATACGTTGACAATTGTTTATAAAAACGTGTACTTTTTGATTATGGTTGTGGAAGTTCTCCACGTTTCAGCTCCGTAAGGTTCTCCTATCCACGCAGTCAAATGCCATCTTGTGTTCAAAAAAGTTGATGAATAGTAACGAGTTCCACTCGAGTGATCGTTCAACAATGATCCATAGTGTCCCAATTTGGTCTGTGCATGACCGATCCTTACGGAATCCAGCATGTTGATCTGGAAGTGGAGAGTGTGCTGAGTCTTTCATGACCAGAGTACAGCAGTATCGCTCCTGAATTTATCCATTTCTGTCCAGCTTAGTTCCAACGGGTTTCACTGATTCCGAGCACGGACAAGTTGAATCTAGTCGTTTCTGTAGCTATTCGACTGGTCATTCCTGTCTCCCACATTGTCCGAACATTCTGTATAGCTACATTAATTGTTGTTCTGCTTGTTAGAAGAGGCATCGGCCTCATGACTTCCGAAGAATTACGGCTTTTATCATGAGGCGTCATAATTTTTTTATTCAACTAGGTGAGCAGAGCTTAAGTGGTTTAAATTGCTTATTCTGGTCTGCGTTCTTTTTAGCAAGGTTGATTTCAATGGGATGGGATCGTTGTCCGTTTGCTCAATCCTCCTCCTTCACCCAGGTTTGGGATCGGCATTAACCCTAGACTGGCCACAGGTAAAGTCCCGTTGTATCTAGTTGATGGAATTTCACAAACAAACCTTTGTTATCGAGCTTCTCCACAGCTTCCTGACCAATCTCAACATTTCGAGCCTTTAAATGATCAACTAATAACTTCTTACCTGTTAGATAAATATCCCACTCTCCTGATGTCCCATAAAATTCTGCAAGCTTTTCAACAATGCTATATCCAATGCCTCCATTTAATCCAATTATTTAAACATAAGTAATCTCGGCTTCTTTATAGAAGTCACTAAAAGAGGATAATGTCTGGAGCAAATACATAGAAACGCGTTTCTGTGTTTTAAAACCACAGAGCTCAGAAGGATCCAAACACGAGCACATTTGAACCAATAATTACATCATTAAGCACTTATTTTATTTTATTTGAGTGATTATTGGCGTCAACTCATTCAATAAGGACACGACTTATCGTTAATAAATTATTGGTTAACGAATAACGGGATTATTGGTTGTATCGCATTGTTCATGCCAGCTTTTTAGGTAATGATTCTGTATTTTCCAATCAGAAAGATGTTCTATCGCATGTACTAGAAAACTACCGATTGCAAGCATCATTATGATTGGTAGTTGAGATTCAATTAGTGTAGGCGTGTAAAGTGTTCAGATATTGCCCTGATAAATTGTCAACATATTGCTTAACAGATTTAGTTCTCATTCAGTACGTTTGCTAGTCGACGGATTCAGTACACGACGGTATTTTATCCGTATTTTGGTGCTATCATGAAACTGGCATTCGTATGATGAGTTTACTCATCTTACAAACAATTTATTACTCCTCTTTAGGTAACTGGGTCAAACAAAGGCATTGGATATACCATTGTTGAAAAGCTTGCAGAATTTTATGGGACATCAGGAGAGTGGGATATTTATCTAACAGGTAAGAAGTTGTTGGTTGATAATTTAACAGCTCGAAATGTTGAGCTTGGTCAGGAAGCTGTGGAGAAGCTCAGTAACAAGGGCCTGGATGTTAAATTTCATCAACTAGATATTACTGATCGAGATAGTCGAAAAGCGTTCCTAACATTTGTAGAGAGAAACTATCCTAATGGAATCAACATTGCAGTGAATAATGCTGGGATTGCCTTTAAAGTTGTTTTGTTCTTAAAATCTCATATGTCTTTATAGGCTGACACTCCAGAGTCACTTGGCGAGCAAGCACGAGTCACTGTTAACACTAACTTCACTTCGACTGTCGATTTCACGGAAGAGTTCATTCCTTTACTGGCTGAAAATTCCAGGTGAGCTAGAAGAATTAGTTCCTACTGTTTAGAGTCGTCAACGTATCTTCTACTCTTTCTTTGTTCAATCTGATGAAACTTAGTGACGATCTGTACGAAAAATTTGTCGGCCAAATGAATCTTTTTGAATTAAAAGAACTTATGGCGGAGTTTGTAAGGTAAATTAATTTTTTCATTGAGGTTGGTGTTGAGTACTATAACCGATTTGATTTGATTTCATAATTTTATAACTCGAATTGATTGCTGTTGTGAAATGTATCTTCTACAAGTTTTCCGACATTGTTAAATTTTTTGGAACGTAAGTAGTTAATTTACGAGGTGTCTTTTCTACACAAAATGTGTTTAGTCATATCTTTGAAATTTGGAAGGCAACAATTCGTGTCGCGTTTATATACTACTTTTGTGAATTTCTTTGGTGGTATGGTTAGTTTCAGATTCGTGAAACTACAGGAGTTTAAGGTTTCATGTAACATATAGTTCTTTCTGTTTGTCTCAAATATAATTGCTTTTGCTTTGAATTTATTATTAGGTCTGCTGAGGATGGTACTTATTCTGAGAAAGGTTGGGTGTCAAGTGCGTATGCGGTATCTAAAATAGGCCTTACAAAGGCTTCATTTATTTTTGGTGAAATGCTGAAAGATGATCCAAGAGGGATTGTGATAAATTCGGTTAGTTTGTTTTGTCGATATTGTGACGATTTGTGTTTCCTGTTGTATAAATCGTTTTAATTATAGGATTAGACTTATAACAAAACTAAGAGTAGTATTTGTTGTAACAGTTGGATTATGCGGTGTGTGCACGGAGTTGTAGTTCGATTTACTTATATTTTGTACATAATGAATATACGGCGTTCTTGTTGTTTCATGATATCAAGATAGACACATGTTCTTTGTTGTACAGCAAGTATTGAAGGTCATGTTTCACGTTAACCACTCCTTTTATACCGCGATCACTCAGTCAGATTACGTTGTTGCACTGAATATCAGTAAGAATTAGACAGAAATTGTGTTTAAGCCCTATCATAATTAACAAATTCTTGGAGGGTGGACAAAATGTTTGTCTTATGCAGGATCACACACTGTATTTGTAAAATATGAAAATACATTATTTGTCCACCTTTCTTAAGTTGTCCCATATAAAATTCATCGTTCCTTCATGACTGTTGGTATTTCGATTGATTTCTGCTTTCCTTTCTCTTCTCTCCATTTTCCCCTTCTGTCGGTAAAAACTCTACTTTCAAGTCCTGATGTATGCTAAAAGTAGTACACAACACACTATTCATATGCGATTGTTATTAACTTAAAATTTTCTAAGCCGTAGGATCCTTGGTGTGGTATATGCTTTCGATCCTAATGGAATGAAAGTCACTCTGTTTTCAAGAATAGTTATTTTGATTAAAATTATGGTCGGTTGATTGCAATGATTGGGAAGCACAGTTATTTTGATTCACTTCCTTGGAAATTATGCTGAAATGACCTAAGTATTATTGTGTTGTTACTTTCATAGTATCTGAAAATTATATTTGAAATAATCTCAGTGATTGAAATTTAAACAATTCCAACGTTTCGTCCAGCAAACTTGTCTGGAGTTATTTAGATTTCAGCCGCTTAGATGATCTCAAATATAATTTTCGCATATAATATCTTCTCTATACTCGGCGCCAAATTTCTGTCAAACTATTCGGTTTAATATTGCCGAATATTCGTACATATTTATCATTATACTTCAAGTAACTCACTCTGAAAAGTAAACTGAAATGTCAGGTATTCGCTCATGTAATGAATGAAATCCTCACTCGAGTGCTACACATTGTTTATTGGATAGTAATAATTATCGTTTCTTCAAACTAAAACTACCTTTAATTTGTTTACAGTACTGCTCTTTTTGAAGCAAGCTTCACCAGAAATGTCTTCGGCATCTCAATATCTCTGTATTAGATACACCATTACTGGATGAGTGTGACTAATTTTCCACTGCTCCATGGTTTAAAAACCTACTGTAACTTAGAAATATTTAAGCTAGACTTCAACTGGAATAATCGAGGTTGTTTAGGGTGCCGTGAACTTGGTTTGTATTTGCTATAATAGTTGAGTCGGTGCCTAGGGAAGGTAATTGTCTCAGTTGTTGAAGGCTAAGAGTAATTAATTTCGTGAGTGGTATTGTTAAAGTGATTATTTGAGAGTTTGTGATTGCTTGGAAGCGAATGGTTTTAATTTTAACATAACATTTGATAGTTTTGTTCAATTAGATTCTATTACATTATCTTCGCGTTTTCATCATTTCGACAGTGTTGTCCTGGTTTTGTTGACACTGATATGACTGACCATAAAGGTGTGAAGACAACGGATGAAGGTGAGTCTATATCCTTATATATATATATATATATATATATATATGTATTATCTGAAAAGTCAGTTGTTTTGACAGAATCATTTGACCACTATTTTGTTGAGTTCGGGAACAGCTGAGCATCAGGAGAGCGTACTATTGTCTAACATTTGGTTTTCAACTGTCGAATGTGATGATTGACTGTAACGTGAAGGGAAAATGGGCACTAAAACAAGTGCAGTCGAATATAATAAGAAGAAATTATGTTCGGTCTTTAATAACATCCCATAAATGTTCCTTGATCTTTAGTCTAAATTCATAAAGAATTTATTTACTTTGTGTTGCGAAATTGTTTTCAAGGTTTTGCATGAAACCCGAATATTCCCTTGAACTTTAGGTATGAAGTACGTGATCATTGTGATTGAATACCTGTAGATTTTCAAATAAACCCCCATTTGATACTGGTTTGTTTTTCGTGAAACCACACAATGGAAGTCACGATATACTAAACTCGTTTCATCTCTACATTTCATTGATAAAATCACTTGAACAGAGCTAGGGTCAGGTATGAGATCAGATTTCATAAGGAATGTGAAAAATGTACTCAGGTAGAAGTGATGTGAACTTATATTAAAGCATATGTAAGTAATTACAATGTTATTTCTGATTATTCGATGAATCAATTTTCGTCAAAAATGTGTACTATTCCTTTACCAGCCGACGTATGTCAGTAAGAACTTCATATCGGATTGCGTTCACCGCGGTCAATAGGGTGGTTAGGAAAATTACATCACTCATGGGTCTTTGTAGCTGATCACTTAAGCAAAATGTTGTGCTTCTCTTGACGTTTTTAGGTGCTGATACACCGTTCTATTTGGCCACATTACCGATTGGCTCAAAAGAGCCAATTAATCAATTCGTCTACGAAAGGAAGGTGGTCAAATGGTCCAAATGATCTTCACATAAATTTTATTCTACCCAGATATATGAACAGAATGTTATTGCTGAATTTTCTTATCAACGTACGTTATGTTACCCACTTGTTTTATTAGATTTCAGATGTGAATCATTCTGTTTCTTAGTCTAATCTGTTTACGAATAGAAGAGATTTCTACCTTATTATTATTATTATCATTATTATTATTATTATTATTATTATTATTATTATTGTTATCGTTGTTGCTATTCTGTGATGTTCGGCTGTACCATGTGTTGTTATTCAGAACATAGCTTCTTCGGTTTCATTTAATTTACTGGAATGTTTGTTTTGTGCATGTATTTCATTTTGGTCTGTTCATATGATTCTAACGTGTTTTCAATTAATGAATGTTGAAAATGTTTACTGTGTGCAAACTGTTTAGTGAGACAACTGGTGTTTTACTTTGAGTTGAAGCTGAGAGTGGGTGGTTTATGTTTGAGTCCGCCTCCAATGAAATATATGACGATGGCGAATTGTTATGAACAGGTGACTTGTAATAGTTTATTCTGAATTGAAATAGATTTCTGCACAAGTTTTATTTTATTTGATGAAATGTTCACTCACCGTTCTTCATTATATTATGTCACTAGGTGATTTCGAGCAGCATTTATCAAACGAACTTTCGTTACTCTACAATGGAGAGTAGTATGAATGTTTCAGTTTTTCACGAAGATTGATTTTAAGAATATTTGTTGAACGGAATGAGATTAGTGGGGTATATATATGATTCATGATCTACATGGATGTTACGGTCGATTACATCTGGTATTACATCCTAGAGTATTGTATTTTATTTATGGTTGGTAATGTTTGACTTGATAACCTAATGTGAGCTGAGAATGCGTTCATCTGTTTAGAAACGTTTCTTAAGAAAGTCTTTTCAATTATGACAATTTGATCACCCACATATCTGTGTTAAATGCGTGTTCTAATTTCACTAGTAGATATATGCGATTTTACATGAGATATGAATAAGTTATCAACAATCAAAGACACAGGGAATCCCACTGCTATACCGTTTGTTTATTTAGATGAAAACTATGTGAAAGTTAAGAAGATTGAATTTTGGGACAGTATGAGGGATTTCATGATCAAACTGGTGCTTATAGAACATCTTCTAGGTAGGGTATTATCATGCCCACCAAACTGTCAATAAAATAGTCATATCTTAGTTCGTCTATCAAATTCATTAGATCCTTGAGGAAGCATGATATCTTACTGAGACTCATTGTGGACTTCCCAAACACCTGTGGTGGATCCCAGCAAAAGAGCTTATTTAAGATAAAACAATACGCAATCTTACCAATAATATACCAAAAAAGAGTTGAAACTACAACCCTAAGTGTCTGTCTATTAGTAAAGCAAAAGGCAACAAATTACAGTTACAATATAAGTGGTATATTAAACAAAAAATGACAACACTTGTTATTGAAATGAATGTTACTTGTAAGCTGCTCTCTGAGATAACAACCACAAATGAGTTCACTTGATTAACGAAGATTCCTCTGCACGTGGTGGCAACAACGTCGTAATGAGAAAGATTGAATCCAATAGTATTATTTAATAATGATCCGGGCCAAAAATCGAACGTAGTGTGGGAAGGTCCAAAAGGTTGTTATAACACTATTATAATCTTCAATCAAAGACCGTGTCCAATAAAGCAGAAGAACAGACGGCGAAGAGTGTGTTTATATTTTAACCAACGTGGTAGTATATCAGTATATGTATATAACCAAACAATAATATCCGTTTTTTAACATTGATACAGAGAAGCAATAGATATTGAATGTAAATGTGGTTACATATAAAGTGTGATACATCAGAGTAAAAATGTGGTTTTTATTTTGTCGTTACAAAAGTCACTGAATATACGTGTCACCATACACCTTGACATGTACTGAGTCTATTTATTCGAACAGTATACTGAAGCCATTTCAAAATGACTTACACAATAAGATTAATTATTCACATAATTTCAAGTCAAATGATTTGATAATGTCAATACTCTATCTAACAGTCGTTCAAAAAGTGTCAGTTTGATTATGAAATCCCTTGGGTTATGTGATTTCATTAGTTAAGCGAGCATTTAGGTACATATTCAGGTACCCTGACTAGTAAAACAATACTTCTCTTCCGTATGCATGTGGTCACAAACACATAAAATTATTAAACACAATGGGTTGCAATGCAACTGTTTTCATGCCGTTTAGGTTTTCATTGAAGCACAGACCTTGTTTCTCTAACAATAATGACTTTTGCTTTATAGTACGTTTTACTGATAACTGATTTGAAAGTGGTTCAACACAAAGCTATTTGTCTCGTCTCTGAATGGGTATGGTGATGTAAACAGGCTTAATCAGCGCTAATAATGTCGTAGGTCTCACCATACTCTGACCTTTCTATAGATTTATGAATTTTTTAGGATGAACATTCTCCATCAATGCTTTGTTCACTGACCACATCTCGTCATCACGTATCTTTTGAAAGATTCTTTTCTGTTAGTGGATTATTTAAGGTGAAGTCAATATTAATCGATAAATGTGTGTTCTTTTGACATGAATTCCTTGATTAGAAATGTACATCTAAAAAAGACTATTGATATTTTAGATGAAGACTTTACATTACTTGTTCACTTAAAAATTCTTAAAGATTTGTCACTATTATACTCTGACAAAGTTTAGTTCATAGTTGAAGGTTAATATCTTCGCCGTATCGTGAGGGTTGCTACGGGTATTCCATTGGGGCCATTATTAACTGACATTCTAAGGCACATGGTGAAAACCTGTCTGAAGACTTGATATCACTTTATAAGAGATATGTGGATGACAGCTTTGTTATCTGTGAGAAAAAGGAGCGTATGAACTTTTTATTGCATAAACTTAGCACTCATTAAAACGACATCAGGCTTCCATATGAAGTGGAGGTAAACAACCAGATTCCTTTCTTAGACACTTAAAAGTAGAATAACAAATAATTCAGTCAGACGATCGATCTTTGAAAAACCAAGGTCAGCATTTAGTTGTCATAGCATTTCCTAGTTTAATGCAAATGGGATATAATATAAGGCCGATTAAATGAGATTGGTCGTAGTGGTACAAACAAAACAGTGATGAAGAATGGTCATCCTGAAAAATTCATAAATCTATAGAAAGCTCACTGTACAGTGAGACCTATGACATTATTGTCACTGAAAAAGCCTGTTTACATCACCATACCCATTCAGAGACGAGATAAATAGCGTTATGTTGAAAAAGGTTTAAATCAGTTGTCAGCGGAACTTAATTCAAAGTGGTAATAAAATTCTGTTGATCAAGCTGCAATACTGCTCCTAGTTTAAATGAATCGACATTGCGTGAACTACTTTGAGATGTAAGGTGATTATTGGAAGCAGTCGATAGGAAACCCTGGACCTACGTTTTGTGCTATTAGGGACTCATCAGGAATGTGTGATTGTAATATTCAGTGAACTGATGCGCGTATAATAATTCAACTAGTTCTAATAATCACACAGACGCAAACGTTCACCACTCTTAACATACAACATCGTCAAATTAATTAGTGCATGTCTTATTTTATGGCCTTCGTAAAATATTACAATAATTATAGATTTATAACTGTAGAGCCTGATGATAAAATTAGTGAAAACAAGTGTTCCCTCAAATCTTCTTCATTTTCAAATATTCCTACGAGAATCTTTATACTGCTGACAAAATATATGTGAATTACCGACAAGCATCGAAACGTAGGTTATCTGTGGCGGTTAAGGAAGGGAAAGGAAGAGGAAGTGCTCCGATAGAGTTGGTAACAGTCAGTAACTGTGTCTAAAGTCAATAGTGAATATGGAAGCTGTCGTGTTAAAACCAAGATTCGAAAAATGCACATAAACTGAGGGAAACTTTCACAAGTGTTAAGAGGATGTAATCACAATAATGAACAAAGTGAATGTTACCAGTTTATGAAAACAGTGAGGGAATATTACACGATATCAACTATGCGTTATACTGTGTGCTCAACGGTTATTAGAAATGTAACTGGCTACTGCATATTAGCAACAAGTAGTATAAATAATACTGAATAAATAAGTGGAGTGAGAAGAGAACAGCAAAGAATGCATGAGCACAATTGAGTGGTAATGAAAACGTAGTGATCGTTTACATTGATTCAGAAACACAAGAAATACATACCCTTTTCATTCAGTCAATAACATACACTCTAGATTAGGCCGTATTGCTTTGTGAATAAAACAGTAACTGAAAAGTAATAATCAACACAATCTGAATTAGTTAATATCACCAAGCAGAAAAACTGAAATCTTTATTGCTCCAGTAAACGTAAATTAGATATTTCAAATAAATGAGAATCATACAAAGTACTAATTAGTTCAGCTCATATTAATATGTACTTTAGTTTATCTATTTAAGTTATAGAATCAATTATGAGGTCATATTCTCACACAACAGTCACTATTAACTAAATCGTGAATGATTGAAATCGAGTGATAAAACTACAAATCAATATTACCTCTGAACAAGCGAGTTATTTATTTCTATCCTCCTAGTTAGAATTGTCAATTCGCAGTAGTATGTTCTTCATTGATTTGCAAGATCTCCTCTGTTAGATCCGCATGAGAGACATTGATCGTAAGACATCAGAAAGAATAACAAAATTCTGGAATTTTCTCAGAATCAAAGTATGAAATAAACGTACTGGTACAGTGTGACGTATACTGGCAATGCTAAAACCTCTGTAACTATTTTGCAGTTTATGATCATTTGTGTTTTTTTTGTTTAGTTAGTAGATATTTGTATCACTGTATTTTTATGTTCTCCCCATTGTAAATCTCAAGTTTACATACTATCTATAAAGAACATACTATTGCGAATTAACAATTCTAACTAGGAGGATAGAAATAAATAACTCGCTTGTTCATAGGTAATATTGATTTGTACTTTTATCACTCGATTTCAATCATTCAC